TCACAACGGGGCACGTCCTCCTACAAGTCGGTTTTGGGGGGTCGCAATGTGGCACATGGTCCTACGAGTTGGTTTTTGGGGGGTTGCAACGGGGCACGTCCTCCTATGAGTTGGTTTTGGGGGGGTCACAATGGGGCACGTGCTCCTAGGAGTTGTTTTGGGGGGTCGCAGTGGGGCACGTGCTCCTAGGAGTCGGTTTTGGGGGGTCACAATGGGGTGCGTCCTCCTACAAGTCGGTTTTGGGGGGGCCGCAGTGGGTCACGTGCTCCTACGAGTTGTTTTTGGGGGGTCGCAATGGGGCACGTCCTCCTACAAGTCAGTTTTGGGGGGTTGCAGTGGGGCACGTGCCCCACGAGTAGGTTTTGGGGGGGTTGCCCTCTCCGACCGTCACCTCCCCTTCCCCACCAGATCACGTGGTGGCTCCCACCGTCGACCCCCACGGCTCCTTGGTGCCCAGCACATCTTGACCTGTTTGGTGACCAACTTCTCCCTCGATGACATCACCACCGGCGCCATGACCCTTGCCACCACGCAGAAGACCAAGAATGACCTCTACGTGGCCAGCAGCCACGTCACTGTCACCGGTGGTGGCCAAGCTCCACCGTGACCGCCATCTTGATGGTCTCCAAGATGTTCCCCAAGGATGGCAGGAGATGGTTTGGGTGGGAGGACACATGTTTGACATGGTGATGATGGGTGGCATCATGGTGGCCCCCAGCCCACGTCCCTTTGCGACCGCCGTGGGTCTACCTGGTGGAACCGCGGTGTGAGATGGAGTTGGAGATCCTCTACGTCCTCTGGAGCTCCGAGTCTGACCAGACCGAGGTGTCTTGGCCGGCAAGGTGATGCGGCACCCCACCGCCGAGGGGGCAGATGGTCAGCAAAATTGATTGGAGATCAGCTGGGACAGTTGGGACATGGGTTGGCATCTCCAACGGGTTGGGCATCTCCAATGGGTTGGGCATCTCCTTGCCAAATCCATCAACCACCTGATTTCTTCTTGGGGGGAGCAACCAAACCCTTCTTGACGGTGTTTTGGGGTGCCGCTCTTGTCCTCCATGGCTTGGCATCTCCAATGGGTTGTGTTGCCACCTGCAACGGGGTTGGGTGACCTTGCAACACCATGGTGAGCCTTGGAATGGTGGCGGTGAGTCTTGCAACGATGCAGGCCAGCCCGGCACCGCCACGGCGAGCTTTGCAATTCCGTGCAATGGGATGACCGATGGAAGGTCCCCTGCGCGACCGGCGGCGCTCAGTCCTCCCACGTCCAACAGGTCCCTTGAAGCCACCGAGCATCCACGTCCTGCCGTTGTCACCGGCCGAAGCTTGCGCCGGCCGTGACATCACCCTCTTTGGCCTCGTGAAGGACTTCTACCCGCCGGAGATCACCATGTGGTGGCGGTGGGGTGATGACGAAGGGCCGGCTGATGAAGCACCCGGTTGCGTCCACAAAGCCCAACGGTGCTCCTTTGTCATCACCTTGGACGTGCCATGGGGCCAGTGGGTGGGCGATGACCTCGAGCTGGAGGAGGACGGTAGCGCCTGGACCACCATCTCCACCTTCGTGGTGCCCTTCCTCCTCCTGATCTTCTACAGTGGCTTCACCCTCTTCATCCAGGTAACCGGCGGTTGGGTTGCCTGGCCATGGGTTGGGTTGCCCGGCCATGGGTTGCCTTGCCCAACCTTGGGTTGCCTTGCCCGGCCTTGGGTTGCCTTGCCCGGCCTTGGGTTGGG